ATCCAAGAGGGGGGGTTGAATTGGGCTAATTCTTTCAATTTATGCAATAATTAAGCCCTACACTTAGCCCATTTCACCCCTTATGTCTAGAATGTGTTTCTATTGTTCTACCGTATAAAAGTTTTACACCATAGGTTTCAATCCTACTCTAGCATGACAATTCTAGGTATGTAAAGACATGAAATAAATTGCTTAAATGTAAATGCTCAAAATAAAGAGAGGGAAAGGAACACGTCGATGTTTTCCCGAGGTATCAGAGAGTCGTCACACCCCACTAGTCCTCGTTGGAGCACCCTCCCAAGGGTGTAGCTCTCCCTTGATACGCGCAAGGATAAGTGCTCTCTACGGGCTGATTCGACACTCCATCGCTGTGAATCGCCCACAACCGCTCACAAAATGACTTAGGTCATCCACAAGCTCCGCCGGATGATCACCAAGCTCCCAATCACCACCGAGCCGTCTAGGTGATGACGATCACCAAGAGTAATAAGCACAAACTCTCACTTGACCAAGACAAGCCTAATGAATAAGGTGGATGCACACTTGCTACTCCCTATGCACTAATGAGGTCCTTAATCTTGGATTATCAAATCTCAATCATCGCACTAGGCTCTTGCCCTCCCTTGCACTCCAAAGGTGTTTCTCAGCTGAATAAATGGGCAAGAGACCTCAAATGGACGAGTGGGATATGTATTTATACCCCCATTCAAAACATAACGGTTGAGGTCCACCTCAACAAGTATCGGGATAACTGGACGCTCCAGTCAAGGTGACCGGACGCACCGGTCAGTGTAATGTGTCAGTGTGTCAGAAAGAGTCGTTTGCTCTGACCGGACTCTGGCCTACGTCCGGTCAGCACCCACCGGACGCGTCCGGTCATCAAAAATCCTCTCTGAAACCTTACTGATGTTGACCGGACGCAGGCACCCAGAGTCCGGTCATTTCTCTGTTCGGTGTCTGGTCCATGGTCAACAGCCTGTCCACGCTGCTATAGATACGGATAGCGCCGTGTCCGATGAGCACTGGTATCCAGCGTCTGGTCGCACTCTGACTGCTGCTGCCGATTAAATGAACTGACCGGACTCTCCAAGCTGCGTCCGGTCATAACCAAACCAGCGTCCGGTCAGTCATTTGACTCTCCATTTACTTCCAATTCTAAATTCTTTGTGAATGAAGTTGACTTCTATTGATCTTAGGGCTATTCCTGAGCTACCTAGCGCTAAGTTTAATAAGTGTGCACCACGCCTAATCCATTAGACTCACCTAGGTTAAGCTACTAGTCCATACCCCCTTAATAGTACGGCCAAAGAAAAAACAAAGTCCTATAATGTTATGTGGCTGGAAGATTGAGAGGGAGAGAGTTGAGGGAGAGGCGGCGACGGAGCTACAGTACCCGCGGGTACTGTTCACGAGAGGGAGAGAGGGCAGGGACGGCTGGCTCCCAAGGGAAGCCAGCAACTTAATTGTTGCTTCTTGCTTGATTATAACTGATACAAGGTTCTCTTTTATAGAGATGACTGACTTGACCTCTAAGGAAATATCCTAACTGAATCAATCTAACATATATCTTTCCTAACAAACCAAACCACATATCTCTTTCCTAACAAACCAAACAATCTAATCTAATCTGTTCACGCGCTAAAGTACCGCGTGGGCCCCTGGGCCGGCTCTACTTGCCATAACACTACTCCACCCCTCGAAGACAGCTCGTCCTCGAGCTGTGGCGATTGCTGGAGCGGAAGACCTTGCGGTCTAGAGAAGATCGCCATGGCAGACCTGCTTCCTCCTCGAGGTGCCAAACGTGGCTGCTCCATCTGATCTACGTGGAATCGAATCCGCCCGGATCGAATCCATGGAGCGCCTGCACGTGGAGTCGATGGTGCCCTCCACGAGCAGCCACCCCCGCTATGGGTGCAGCCGAGCGAGGTTGTGCTGGAGGCGTACTCCAAGCGACCGATGGAGCTTTGAAGGCCTGCTGCTGAGCCGGCGGAGAATAAGCGCATGCAAACAGCCACGGCCCTGCTCGAGGGATCGGTGCTGTGGCTCGTAGAGGCAGCGACAAAGGCACCATGTCCGCCAATGTCGGTGCATGGATGATCACCTGCATTGGTGACACTAGTGCTGGCGGGGTTGTTGGCGAAGCTGGTGATGAGACTGCCGGAGTTATGGCAGCCGGTGCCTTCATTGGTGATGTGGCGAACTCCAACGGGGCTTGTGCAGCGGCCGAGGGCGGCGCGCCCGTGCTGTCCATTGAGGGCGACGCGGCAGAGAGCCACGGCATCAGGCTACCTCCGTGGAACAGGGATCCGTCCACCCTGCCGTAGAAGATGCCCGGAGCCGGGGCGCCGCCAGGCGCCAAGACAGCCCCGGTGGCCGGGAGCGGCGGTAGGTGCGGCTGGGTACTGGGGGCCGTGTAGATGGGTTTCGACGAACCGACGATCCAAGCCAGAAGCGGTGACGGCGACGGCAGGAACTTGATCTGCTGGATGGGAACGCCCTGGGACGGCGGTGGCATGGCTGGGAACGATGTCGTCGCAGTCCCGTCGTAGGGCATCCCATACTGGTACGAGATGACCGGCACCGTGGTCGCGGCGAGGAAGGCCCTGATGCCCGCCACGGCCTGCCGTAATTCCAGGATTGCGGCCTTCATCTGCTTCGGGGTAAGGACGAGGGCGGCGGGAGACGACGGCGCCGGGGCAGAGGGCGCGATCGCCCCTGAGGACGCCAGCGCGCCCAATGCCGACACGTTGATATGTGGCAATAGCGCCGATGAAGACGCTGGTGGCAGCGGGTGGACATGATCGAACCAGAGATCTCTGATACCAGATTGTTATGTGGCTGGAAGATTGAGAGGGAGAGGCGGCGACGGAGCTACAGTACCCACAGGTACCGTTCACGTGAGGGAGAGAGGTCAGGGACGGCTGGCTCCCAAGGGAAGCCAACAACTTAATTGTTGCTTCTTGCTTGATTATAACTGATACAAGGTTCTCTTTTATAGAGATGACTGACTTGACCTCTAAGGAAATATCCTAATGAATCAATCTAACATATATCTTTCCTAACAAACCAAACCACATATCTCTTTCCTAACAAACCAAACAATCTAATCTAATCTGTTCACGCGCTAAAGTACCGCGTGGGCCCTGGGCCGGCTCTACTTGCCATAACACTACTCCACCCCTCGAAGACAGCTCGTCCTCGAGCTGTGGCGATTGCTGGAGCGGAAGACCTTGCGGTCTAGAGAAGATCGCCATGGCAGACCTGCTTCCTCCTCGAGGTGCCAAACGTGGCTGCTCCATCTGATCTACGTGGAATCGAATCCGCCCGGATCGAATCCATGGAGCGCCTGCACGTGGAGTCGATGGTGCCCTCCACGAGCAGCCACCCCCGCTATGGGTGCAGCCGAGCGAGGTTGTCTTGGAGGCGTACTCAAGCGACCGATGGAGCTTTGAAGGCCTCTTCTGAGCCGGCGAGAATAAGCGCATGCAAATAGCCACGGCCCTGCTCGAGGGATCGGTGCTGTGGCTCGTAGAGGCAGCGACAAAGGCACCATGTCCGCCAATGTCGGTGCATGGATGATCACCTGCATTGGTGACACTAGTGCTGGCGGGGTTGTTGGCGAAGCTGGTGATGAGACTGCCGGAGTTATGGCAGCCGGTGCCTTCATTGGTGATGTGGCGAACTCCAACGGGGCTTGTGCAGCGGCCGAGGGCGGCGCGCCCGTGCTGTCCATTGAGGGCGACGCGGCAGAGAGCCACGGCATCAGGCTACCTCCGTGGAACAGGGATCCGTCCACCCTGCCGTAGAAGATGCCCGGAGCCGGGGCGCCGCCAGGCGCCAAGACAGCCCCGGTGGCCGGGAGCGGCGGTAGGTGCGGCTGGGTACTGGGGGCCGTGTAGATGGGTTTCGACGAACCGACGATCCAAGCCGGAAGCGGTGACGGCGACGGCAGGAACTTGATCTGCTGGATGGGAACGCCCTGGGACGGCGGTGGCATGGCTGGGAACGATGTCGTCGCAGTCCCGTCGTAGGGCATCCCATACTGGTATGAGATGACCGGCACCGTGGTCGCGGCGAGGAAGGCCCTGATGCCCGCCACGGCCTGCCGTAATTCCAGGATTGCGGCCTTCATCTGCTTCGGGGTAAGGACGAGGGCGGCGGGAGACGACGGCGCCGGGGCAGAGGGCGCGATCGCCCCTGAGGACGCCAGCGCGCCCAATGCCGACACGTTGATATGTGGCAATAGCGCCGATGAAGACGCTGGTGGCAGCGGGTGGACATGATCGAACCAGAGATCTCTGATACCAGATTGTTATGTGGCTGGAAGATTGAGAGGGAGAGGCGGCGACGGAGCTACAGTACCCACAGGTACCGTTCACGTGAGGGAGAGAGGTCAGGGACGGCTGGCTCCCAAGGGAAGCCAACAACTTAATTGTTGCTTCTTGCTTGATTATAACTGATACAGGATTCTCTTTTATAGAGATGACTGACTTGACCCCTAAGGAACTATCCTAACCGAATCAATCTAACATATCTCTTTCCTAACAAATCAAACAATCTAATCTAATATGTTCACACGCTACAGTACCGCATGGGCCCCTGGGCCGGCTCTACTTGCCATAACATATACTACTCTAAGTGTCTCTCTAACACCAAACGACACTTAGAACTAGTCCACTCTTAACCTTGTTGTCCATCCTTTGAAAACCGAAACGATTTCCATCGACAGGGGCATGACAACCATGATTGCCCAATCAATTTTCATTACCATGACCTAACTCAAATTGCCTCTGCAAAACACACGTTAGTCGTAATAATCTCGTGTCGTCATTAATCACCGAAAGCCAACTGGGAGTCTAGATGCTTTCATACATATTCATACTTTTTGTTGTGTAACACAAAGTCAACAAATAGCTGGCCATTGTCAGGACTGCTATATGTACTGATTCTTGCTGATAACACTCCTTTTTTGGAGAATTGCCTAATGCAGCAAGGATTCATCACTCATCAAGCTCGTGTATTAGCAACAACATGACCTGGTGTATGCAGAACAACAGACATGTTACAATTAAATTGTTCAGTCTCTGTCAGTCCTACTCTTGTCATAGACAAGACAACTGAGATGGTAGTTTTTTTAGCTGTGTTTGGCTGTGAGGTGATTTCTGCTGGTGCTCTTGCCTTGGACAGGACGAATTGAGATGTTTTTTTTTTCAACTGTTTGGTCGTGAGGCGTTGCTTCAAAAAATATTCATGGGCATAGGCACAGGTGTGAAAAGCAGGAAACTGTTGCATTCACAGAGCGTATGGTGAAAGTGCTATTGGCAGCACAAAAAAATGTTAAGAAATATAGGCATGAGAGGAGCTGTGAAACTGGCTGGGGCATTCTTACCTGATCAGTTGTCTTTGTGGCGATGAATTGTGCAACTCTTGGCCAGTCCTGACCAAATCTACAATTACACGAAAGGAGCTTGTTTTAGAAATGTTCTGCTTCTAGAATGAATGGACGATTCTACAGGTTTTGATTTCCGGTAAGGAAGCTCAAGCTGTTGGGATTGCAGCCGTGCAATATGTCTGGCTCACGTCTCAGCAGAACTATATACCTGGCCAGGGCAATCCTGAAGTTGATACGTTCCCTGATACTCCAGCTCTCTTGAGGTGGCCGAGCAATGGCGCACAGCAGCTCCATACTGCGATTTTGTGTATGGTTCTTCCTTCCTGATGGTAATGACAGATGTTTCCTCATTACCTGTCGTGCTTTCTCCTTGCATTCAGAAGACGGTGTCTCCATCTTGAGAGCCTGAATCCCATTGCGCATATATCCAGGTGCTTGCAGACGTTTGTGAGTTAATCATGCAAAGGTAAGAAGGGCAAGCAGAGTTCCTTGGAGAAATCAGGCGTTCATGAGTTGATCATGCAAAAGGCCAAGCAGAGTGCAAAGAAGTATGATTTGTCTGAAATGATAGGCGCATTTTGCATGCTGTAATCATGGTTATAGTCTTTCAATTTTTTTCGGCAGAGAGAGAGAATCCATTCTTGTGATCGAGGAATAAGATGTTTTCTTGTTTCGAAAGAACTCTCAGTAGAAAATGTATTTCTATGATTAGTTTACTTTTGGACCATCAATCTTGGATGATTAGCACCTTTGCGGTCACTGGTGCCACGGACAAAACTAGACCAGACATAAGATCAGGGGCGGAGCTAGAGCAAATCCGAGGACATGCGCTTGCCTTTTGGGTGTAAATATGATGAAAAATGTTTGTTTCTCCTGTTTTTTTTCTATTTTCGAGTGGGTGCGGCTGCACCCACAGCCATGATGTATCATGTGAAATCTCAATGTACTAATGTGCTTCACAATGGTCAGTTTTGGACTCACCCTGTGCCTGTGCACCACCCTACCATCCATAGAGTAGTTTCATCCCTTGATGGATTGGTGAATTATAAGTGAATTGTTCATCTTCTTTTCTAACAGCTTAAACTTTTGTATTGAACCGATCACTACATGCTACTCAATATGGTATTAAAGCTAAAAGTCTCGAGTTCGAATCCTAGTGCAATTAAATAAAATAATTATGGCTGACTTCTATTCCATGTTTGAGGCCTAAGGAAGCCAGCAAGTGAGAGGGAGTATTGAAATATAAGTTAATTGCTCATTTTTTCTAACAACTTAAACTTTTGGGTTATTGATTGGTGCATGTAACTCATCAATGCGTGCGATGCGGTGACGCAGGGGGAGGACCTCCAAAGCTAGGGATATAAAAAAACACAAGATAAATGTATCTCAAATATTATCTATATGTGCTTTAGGTTTATTAGTATGTCTATTATACCACTTTGAAAGGCTTGCAAACAAATTCGAAGACCTTAGCAACTACTCTAAGACATTAAACAAAAGACCAGTACTAGTAGTAAGTAAATGTGGAAGCGTGAATGTGGTAAATAAGGAGATGAACAAGAAAAGGGGCAAATTTGGCACCAAAGGTTCATCCTTGTGGTATTGATAGCAGTACTGCAACACCTATAATCCAAGTCGAAGTATCTACGAAGGCTATAACTCCGGGTTAGCAAGCCACTTTCAGTCGTGGCTCATGGTTCTTGAGCACTCCACAACAAAGAGATGGACCTCAATACGGACCCTTCAAGACTCACAACAAAGAGACGGCCCGTTAACCACGAAGGCAAGTCTCACCACTAGACTCTCTCCAAGTCACTTACCATGAACACGTATTAGTGTTCCCTTACAATCTTCATACCATCACTCCACACCAGGTTCGACAAGCTTGCTCCAGTAGTTAGATTTTGTTGTACTTATTAACTAAACAACATTATAAGCACTATAACATCCTACATGTAAATTACATAAATTAGCCGTTAACACTCTACTTCTCTTTGCTTAGTAATCCTTCAAGGCTCGATATGACATCTTTTGTGGATATTGGATTATTTAGCGTGTCATATGTAGTACCAACTGAGCCACCTAGCAACATCCCAAAACAAAATCTAGAGTAAACCATTTTGCGAATGTTCGAATACATCTTGTATGCTAATTTGGTGAATGGCCCATGATCATAACGCGTGGATGCTACATTACCTGATAAAAAGATCTCATAATCCCATCCCATCCTATTTTAGAGCATTTTTTTAACTCTATTTTAGAGCATTTTTAACTCAACGTCAAGCATAAATCTAATCCTCCCATCCCAATCCATATATCCTTAAGCAATCCTCAATTTCAAATTAGACCTAAAAACAGTTAGGCAACCAAATTCTATCTCGCCATGACATAAGCACTGAACCAGTGGCGGAGCGTGAAACAAAGGGGGTCAATTTGTATCAAGCTATGAACCAATCTCAAATCCTATAAAAAATATATATTGATTTACAACAAATAACTTGGGAGCAAAAATACAAGGTGAAAGCATTGAGGCCCCTAGTTGGGTTTCGGTGATTATTGACAACACGAGATTACTGTGACTAACGTGTATTTTATAAAGGCAACTTGAGTTAGGTCATGGTTGAAAGGATCAAGATGCCCAAGAGGGGGGGGTGAATTGGTCTAATTCTAAATTTCTTCGCAATAAACAAGTCCTATTGATAGCCCAATTAACCCCTTGTGCCTAGAAAGTGTTTGTAATGTTCTATCGCACAAATAGACTTCCAACCTAAGTTCCAATCCTACTCTAGCATGGCAGTTCTAGGAATGTAAATGACAAGAATTGAATTGCTCAAAGTAATGCTTAAAGTAAATGCTCAAAGTAAAGAGAGGAGAGGAAACGCGGCGATGTTTTGCCGAGGTATCGGAGAGTCACCACTCCTCACTAGTCCTCGTTGGAGCACCCGCACAAGGGTGTAGCTCCCCCTTGATCCGCGCAAGGATCAAGTGCTCTCTACGGGTTGATTCTTCGACACTCCGTCGCGGTGAATCACCCACAACCGCTCACAATCTTGAGTCGGGTCACCCACAAGCTCTCCGGATGATCACCAAACTCCCAATCACCACCAAGCCATCTAGGTGATGGCGATCACCAAGAGTAACAAGCACGAACTCTCACTTGACCACGCGAAGCCTAATGAGAAGATGGATACACACTTTGCTACTCTTGATTCACTAATGAGGTTTCACTCTTGGATTCTCAAATCACAAACACCTCACTAGGACCTTGCTCTTCTTGACACTCATAAATGTGTTTCTCAGTTGTTGGAATGAGCAAAAAGTACCTCCACACACGAGTGGAGCATCTATTTATAAGATAGCCTAAAAAACGAACCGTTATGTGCCCCTGCGGGGTGACCGGACGCTCCAGTTAGTTCAACCCGCACACCAGTGTTTAAGTGTCCATCGGACGCTGGCAGGGTCCGGTCACCACTGACCGGACGCGTCCGGTCACAAATATCCCTCACTGGAACCTTACTGGAGTCGACCGGACGCTGGCCCTCAGCGTCCGGTCACTTGACCTCTCCAGCGTCCGGTCAAACCGAACTAGTTCACCTCAGTCAAATGAACTGACTGGACTCTATGGCCAGCGTCCAGTCGCACTGGAGCCAGCGTCCGGTCAGTCTTTGACCCTCCATTCACTTCCAACTCTCGATCATTTGTGAATGAAGTTTGCTCCAAAGGATCTTAGGCATATTTAGGAGCTACCTAGTGCTAGTTTTAACAAGTGTGCACCACACCTAACTCACTAGACTCACCTAGGTCAAGCTACCCGTCTATACCCCCTTAATAGTACGGCCAAAGGAAAAACAAAGTCCTAAACTACTCTAAGTGTCTCTTCAACTCCAAACGACACTTAGAACTAGTCATCCTTAACCTTGTCATCCATCCTTTGAAAACCGAAATGATTTCCATCGTAGCGGCATGACATCCACGATTGCCCAATCTATCTCCATTACCGTGACCTAACTTAATTGCCTCTACAAAACACACGTTAGTCACAGTAATCTTTTATTGTCATTAATCACCGAAACCCAATTAGGGGCCTAGATGCTTTCAATCTCCCCCTTTTTGGTGATTGATGACAATACAACCTCGAGTATGTGAAAGAGTTGAGGTTTTTAACATGCTTGGATCATATAAGCTTTTAGCAATAAGAACAAAAGAGACCGTCAAGCTTATATAACCCAAGCCATCATGATGTACTCAAATGATATGAAATAAGCATGAGTACAATAAGAAAGACTCATTTGCATCGGAGTAAAAACATGGAAGCAAAGGCAAATGAGCATAGCTCAAGTGATATGACATATTTAAGAATTCAAAGTAGAGAGCACACATGTCATATATCACAATCATGTAGATATCACTATCACATAGATAAAATAGTATGCATGAAAGTAAACACACGAATGCATAATAGTAATAGTGTATCACACAAATAAAACTCCAAATGTATATAAAAGACTAATAGCTAACTAGCTCCCCCTAAATGTCGCTCCCCCTGAGTCTATATACTCGAACCCTCTCCCCCTTTGGCGTCAAACACCAAAACCTAAGGGCTGGTCGGCGGGGCTGCAGCGGACGAGGAGCAAGATGAAACTGGGCAGCATCATCATCTGACCCTGAGCTCTGTGCTGACTGACCCTCTGAAGCAGGAAGTGTTGCTGAAGCGGTCTGGGTCTGAGCTGGGGCAAGAGCTACCTATGATGCTGCTGGTACATCTGTCGTAGGATCTGATGATGCGACAGAAGAAGGGAGCCTCTGAGTAGTCACTGCGATAGGAGCTGCTGTAGAAGGACCGGCAGCATGAATATGTGGCGGTGTAGGCATCCCTGTCAACTCGCTGAAAGATGCTCCAAGACTCCTGGAGACTGACGTGTCAGGCACAAATAGCGAGGATGACTGATCCGGTGTGAAGCCCGTCTGAAGTGGTGTGAACTGCGGGGCTACCACTGGCGAGGATAACCACTGGGACACCTGTACTGGGGGAGAAGCAAACTGAGCTAGAGGCTATCCCTGACTCTGAAGCCCACTGGGCTGTACTGCTGGAGTCGTCGTAGTGGTGGCAGGCTGAGCAATCTGGGGCGAAGGCTATGGCTGTGGAGCCCCAAGAGTTATCACAACATGCTGCATGAATCCCATAAGCTGCTGCTGCATGAGTAACTGCTGCTGATGCATCTACTGCTGCTGGAGGACCTGCTGCTAGCGCTGGAACTCGTCCTGATGAGCCTGAAACTGTGCAAAGTTGGCAGCGGTCTCCTGAGCCTGTCGTGCCTAATCCTGCTGCATCCGCTCAAGAATAGCAATGAGAGCGGGGTCCATCTACGGTGCAGGTGGAGCTGAGCTAGAACTAC